AATTGATGAGTGGGTGGCCAACTCTTGACTTGGTGACAATCTTTATCTTCTCTTGTCTGCCCAAAAGGTCATTGATAATATCATAATTGGAGCCACTCGAAAACATGAAAGTTGTATGTAATTGTCTCAACTTTCTTGGGCAAAAACTTCAGCTTATTTGGACTTCTAGAACTCCAGATATGGCCAAAATACTAAACAGTGCTCAAGCTGGAGGACATATTCGGGCTTCTTTGTTATTGCTACAATTTGGACTTTCAAATGGCCTTTTTAGATATTGGGCTCCATATAAAAGTAGTAGGCTTATGTCTTACCTTTTCATTCATATAAAGTAGACCTAAATCAGAGATTTATAGCTCTAAATATGGCTCAATTACCGAACAGTGTTCTGGTTTAGATTGTACCGATATCTCTTTTCTAAGTTTGGCCATCTCTTTGCCCTTGAAATTTAAGTTCTTAAAGTCATTAATCAATCCTTTCATTTATGTGATAGGCTTGCATTTAAAATGAACATTTACCACAAATTAAAGGTATCTTATATTATTAGCTGTATGATTACAAAACATGCTTTAGTTAAGGAGTTATTGATACTTCAAGTGCAAAATGATGATATAAAACCATGATAAAAATGCACTTTTAAGTACTAATCATAGGCCTATGTCTTACCTTTCCATCCATATAAAGTAGACTTAAATCTGAGATCTACAACTCCAGATATGATCTAATAACTAAATTGTATTCTGGTTTGGACTGCACTGACATCTTTTTTCTAAGTTTGGCCATCAATCCTTTTATTCATGTGATAGGCCTGCATTTAAAATAAATATTTACCATAAATTAAAGGTATCTTATATTATTAGATATGTTATTATGAAACATGCTTTAATTAAGGAGTTATTGATACTTCAAGTGCAAATTAATGATATAAAACCTTGATAAAAAATGCACTTTTAAGTACTAATCACTTGTGCTATGAAAGGAACTTGAATTGTTATTAATATAAATTATAATCATAAATGTCTGATTCTTGACAATATTTATAAGTATTAGCATTATTTGAATAAGATAACTAATGTAATCATGTGAACAAATTATAATTCGATTGGAACCTCCTTTGTGTGTGGTTTCCAATTGAATAATAAGAGTTTATACTATATACTTGTTTGAAATATCATTATTAGATTCTCTAACCTTGACATTTGTTGTTATCATTATTTAATCTTTACATCGATATTTCATTTCAAAATTCTCATTAACTTCTTCTTCTTCTTCTTCTATTATTGTTGTTGTTGTTGTTGTTGTTATATTGTTGTTATTTATAATTTATACAATTAACTTCCCTGTAGTTTGATTCTAGTCTTGCCAGATTATTTATTACTTTGACACTTCTATACTTGAGAGAAGACATAAATCTTTTGGTCGTGTTACATAAAGATTAAGAATCATTATATAATTTGCACCTTTACGTGTTGCAACCTTTAAACATAAATTTTAGTATTGAATTGGTTATTCTATATGTCTAGTCACATGCAAAAAGAGTTATTTGCATTAGCAGAGATGTCCTTGGACTACTTTACATCTAGTTTATGTTATGTGGATTATTTATAGTTTCATATCTATATTTTTACCTTATTAATCATGTATAGTTGTCTTATTTATAAATAAGAACTTTAAGATTATATATTTTAATAGAATCAATTGTAGTGATGTGATTTTAAAGTTGTCAACTTAGGATGCTTGATAAGGTTTTTTGATTTTTTTTTTCTTTGGAATGTGTTGCCTTACACCATTGTTGAATAAGTTTTATGAAATGAGTCGGTTACTGTGGACTAACTTTCTATTGTTTGTAGATTCAAATCAACAATTGAATATTTATGTAACAGGCATGACATCTAGATAATTTTGTCTCAAATTGACATTTCTTACTCTAGCAATTAATGCCTCATTATTTTTTCTTTATCACGATTTATAACATATACGCTTCTTTTACACCATTTTCTTTTCTGCTTGTTTTTTTATATGCAAGGTTTTAAGTTATGGGTTTTGTATTAGTTCAATAAACAAGCAAGCAAACCCGAAGATACTTATATTATGTCTGCTTTAATATTTTTTTTACTTGATTTTTCCTTTTTTAATATAAAGGGTTTTGTTTTTTTTTATTCTTTTTTTCTTGTGAGGAGGGGGGATGATGGGTGATGATTGATATAAAAGGTTTATGCTTAATATATATTAGGTGATATGGTTGTAAATATGCATAATTATAGTAGCTTAGGTGATATGAGATTGACAAATTTTGTTGATATTTGGTTTGGGATTAAATTGGCCGAAAAAAGTGTTATCATGTTAAAAAAAAATGCATATTTAGAATATGGACATGACAATTTGCAATTGTAAATAAATTTCAAAGAGAATCTTCATGTTTAATAGTACTTGGGTTTTTAATAAAAAAATAAATATAATCAAGAGGTGCCTAAATGGAAATAGAATGCACTAGTCAATTGATTTATTTATTCTTCACTGTATGTTAGATCAAAAGTTTTTGTTAATATATAAAAATAAATATACATGTGTTGACATCATGTTTTTTTATATTAATAAAAAAATTGTAAATTGAAAATTTAATGTATATATTTAATAAAATAAATTGAGAATCTCATATACCTATAAATATCAAAAGGCATTCACACAGATTCCAAGTTAATTTTTAATATTTAGAAAAAAATGTCAATGTTGTTGATTTAATTAATTTTTTAATTGAGAAATGTAATGATGCTAGTTATCTTAAATGAAATAAATTTAAAAAAATATAAACTAATAAATTAAAAAAGAGTTGTTAGTGATAATTAAATACTAAATAAAAGGCTAATCTTTGTCCTTAAAACAGAAAATAGATAAGTATGCAAATATTTAACTCATTGTTTTATTTTAATTTATATGTTTTTATTTTTTTTTATCTTGGAGATTATTTGTTATCAAAAATAAATTATTTTTATTTTTATAAATAAATTATACAGTTGTTAGTGATAATTAAATACTAAAATAAAAGGCTAATCTTTGTCCTTAAAACAGAAAATAGATAAGTATGCAAATATTTAACTCATTGTTTTATTTTAATTTATATGTTTTTATTTTTTTTATCTTGGAGATTATTTGTTATCAAAAATAAATTATTTTTATTTTTATAAATAAATTATACAGTTGTTAGTGATAATTAAATACTAAAATAAAAGGCTAATCTTTGTCCTTAAAACAGAAAATAGATAAGTATGCAAATATTTAACTCATTGTTTTATTTTAATTTATATGTTTTTATTTTTTTTATCTTGGAGATTATTTGTTATCAAGAATAAATTATTTTTATTTTTATAAATAAATTATACAAATATAATTTATTTATATCAAATATAAAAGAAAACAACTTAAACATGAGTTAGATTATAAATATTATAAAAATATAAAATAATTAAAAAAAAATATAATCGCTATATAAAATGGTTGACTAAACATTTAAAAATTAAAGAGAAATATTATTAATTTAAATTAAAATAAAAATCAATGCAAATTATAGAAAAATAATTAAAATTACAAAAATAAAAAACAAAATAGGTTAAGTGGTAACAAAATTAGTAGGCCAGGCTTATGTGCTTAGCTAGTTACCTAAGAATCTATATATATCTGGGTGATTTTTTTTTTAAAATGAATTTCATTTTATTATTTTTTTAATGAATAATAAGTTATTTGAAATATTTTTTCATAACTTCTAATAATTAAAAACTTATTTTTACCTAATAAAAAGCTTATAATATCAATAAATCAATCCCTTATTTTAAAATGCCTCTAATTTTTTTCCACAAACAAACTAGAAAAAAAATTATGTTTTAATTTCAACTTATTTTTTCCCGTGTATGAAAAATACTTCAATAAAACCTACCTTGTAAAATAGAACCAGTTGAAATTAAAAATGATATTTTTATTATTGTAATTTGAGAATATGATTTTTTTATATATATATATATTTTTTAAAATCTTTTTTTCTTCACCCTCAAACCTATGAGTTGAAAAATAAATAAAATGAAAATTTAGATAAACAAAAATTATAGGAATGGTAAAGGAATAACATGAAAAATAGGTGGACTTCGAGGAGCTTTTCACGGGGATTGAAGATTGGATTCATAGTTTCCCATTGTTTCATAGTTTGGTTTTTTTAATTATTTTTTATTATAAATTATAAAATATTAGTTATTAAATTAATTATAAAAGGATGTAATTGAAAAAAAATACTATGAATTATTATAATAAAAACCCATTGGCTTTTATTTTAATTAATTATTTTCTCCATGCAATTGTCTTGTTAATTCTCGTAAAGGAAATATTGATTGATTTTGAATATTGAACTCTAATGATTCTTAGACATTCAAAAAGATGCTTAAACTAGTATAATTTTAATATGGGAAACCTTAATTTAATCTCATTAATTGGGTTATAGACCTAAATTTTTTTTATCAATTTCATACTAAATATTTTTAAAAAAGTCTTAATCTAGTAAAATTATTCATCTTTGCCAAATTTTCTTGAAATTTACATCATTTCAATGCATAAATATGCATATTAGAATGAAAATATAAGTGTTCAACTATTCATCAAATTCTCTATGGTACATAAAACATAGAAATTAGACTTAAATTGTATATATATAAAAAAACAAAATGATTCAATTGAGAAAAGTAGAAAATTTTTTGAATTTAATTATTAAAATTTACAGATTTGGGTGCAATTGAAACTGAGTATATAGGTTTGGACTAGGTTGAGGTGTCCCCCTTCAATTTTCGGGCAAGGTGGTTTTGTTAATGAATGAAGTATCTGTCACGAGGACCCAATTGCATAAATAAAAACCTCTCTGCTGCCACTAGAACCTTTGGATGAGGGTCAAACCAAATGTTATTTCAAGCGAGGGAAGGAGCGGCATGTCGTTGATCCACCCCTAGCAGAAATGGTTCGCTAAGTTGACATGTCGGCTTTTACCGAGTTAAAGAAGAAGGGAAAAAAGGACCCTTCTCAAGCCAAAGCCAGCCATTGTTGAAGGAAAGAAAGTGAAGATGGGAGGAGTGAGACAGAGAGCGATGACTACAACACTTCCAAAGCTGATACAAAGTCTCCGAAAGGAATGCCCAAAGCCAGGAATAAAGCAGTTGCCATCGCTGAGACGCGCTTTCTCTCTCTACGATCAGATCAATCTCATCGACAATGTCCCTGAAGACCAACTCCGTTTTCAAGGGTATTATTAATGATTTTCTTTATATTTTAGTAATCAATTTTATAATTTATTCAAAAAATCAAAATCCTGTTTTATATTTTAGTAATCAATTTTATAATTTTATAATCCTGTTTTTTTTTTTAAAGGTATACTGATACGGGATTCAGAGTGAATGGGGTGGAGTATGAAGGTAGCTTGCTTTGTGTGGGCAACCTGCTCACCTCTTGGGCACCCAGTTCCTTCTCTCAGATTACTCCTGACAGGTCTAGTCTCTTATCTTCCCTTTTTTTTCCCCCTTTCTGGGTTTCTTTTTTATCTTTGTTTTATTAAGCCATCCCATCAATCAGTGCTGAGGGTACTTTTTGGTTCACATATAGGGGGCATTGCTAAATATTAATTAGTTTAGTTAACCCAAACTGATTTTAGTTACCATTTTATAATGTTCAAAACCATGTATTCTTTCTTGGTAAACAAATAACTCGTGCATATTCGCAATAAAAATTCAAATGTTAGGCTTTTTATTTGCTCCTTCTTGTGACATTTCGTCATTGTTGTGGCCATTTTGCAGTTTATCCATCTTTCAAATTGTGCGGCCTATACCAGGTGAGATAGTGGGAGACTTTAATACCATTATATAAATGTGATTCTATAGGAGTGTTGTTTTAGCACTTTTACTTGATTTGTTCCTTGGCTCATTGCATCTTGCTTAAAATCGCAAATAATGTGGAGAGAAAATCATCTTGAGCACAACTCATGTTCATTTTTCTCTTGTTGCATGCTTTCATGCTATTTAGTATTTTTGTTGTTTGTTCACAAAAAACATTAAATTCATATTGAATGTTTGATCCCAAGTTGGCTTGGTGGACAATTTTTTGTCGGGACTCCAACTATGGGCACAATTAGAGTTGAGGAGGTAAATTTCAAACATGTCTTTTGTAATCATAAACGCTAAAGGATTGGTGGATTTTAATTAGAGGCCAATGAGGGGGAGGACTAGTGAATTTTAGTGCAAAGACCAGCGAGGGGAAAGTTGAGTCGAAATCCAAAGAGGAGGAGATGTAAAAGAAGAAGACATTTTGCGGGGATGAATCCAAGCATGCTACTTACAATGGACAATCAAAAGCAAAGGTGAAGGGAAAAGGGTTCATAGCCAAATTTAGGTTGCTTTATTTGCAATGGAAAACACTTTGCAAGGGATTGCCTAAAAAGGGTATGACTTAAGCTGTAAATAGCACACATTAATCCATATTAATTGTCATAAAGACAAAATTTTCAAACAAATTTTAACCCATTGTGTGACAATCTAATCCCCTTATGCTCAACCTTTTTCTCACTAATTCACTTGTGTTTGTCTATAACTAAGTGTTTCACTAACCTGGATAGGATTTCCTCACTCTTGTTGTAAACAAGTGGAATATACATAAGCAAATGAATAAAACAATGCACAAAAATTATAGAAAAAATCTCATTTTTTATTGTACTCTTAACAAAAGAATTACACAAGCCTTGTGTGTGCGATGCACTTAGCTTGCAGGTTATATAACATTTTATAGTTTATTTAAATAACAAAATAAGCAAGATACAAATGGAAACTACCTCGCCAATTTCTAGTAATCTTTTGAATATATAATTATAAGTTTTGGCTAGTTTTATCCCAATAAATAACTGCCGATAACTGCTGCAATTTCATTGTTTTGTCTTCCACAAACCATTAGGTCAATTTGCAAAAGCCTATCTTGCCAAAATTGTTGTGTTTCTGTTTGTGTTGGACAATCCAAGTCAAAATTCACGCAACGTATGAACCTAATGCTTGCACATACCATTTTACAATACTTGTTGATTTTGCCACTATCCATCTGGGTTGCCGATGCATATGGCATATTTTAGGCAGTGTTTTAATTGGCGTGACTTTGTAACTAAACCTCTAACAAACCTCCTTTACTAGAAGAACCTGAAACTCTCGTTAGAATATAGATGCAGGGTGCTCCTATATTTTGTCTTTAAACTACCACAAATTTGTGTTTGCCCCACTTCACCAAGAGCTCCATTCATTGATTTTTTTATGTTGGTCAAGTCTATGGTGGTCTAGGATTTTGACATTCCTGTTGTCAAACTACTTTTGAATCGTAGGAGGTGCACATTGTGACTTACCTTTCTTTGGATTTTTATGAAATGATTTCAAGTAGCCTGCGTGGAATATAAGATGAAGTCGTAGTCGTTCAAGTAACTTTAGCTCATACACCACTGCTCTCACCTTTTCCATGACTTCAAAAGGCTCGTTGTATCTTGACACTAGCCCTTGATGTCATGATACTTAGATTGTTTGATCTAGAATAATCAAGAATAAGGGATTGCTCTAGTACTAAGATGGACTTAAGAACAAGAGACACGAAAGACAAACAAAAGCAAAACTAGGGTTGTGCTGAGAAAGACTGATACCATGACAAACTGAGAAAATTTTAGGCATGAAAAGTTATGTTCCCTCTATGGAGAATCGTTATTTATCTTGAATATGATTACAAGCTAAATTTTAGCTCCTATAAAATAATTAAACTACCATATACATATTTTCCTAACTAGCATATAACTAGTATTTCCTCAAAAAAAAAAAGGAATAAGATATTTACAAATATAGAAAGTAGTTGTCAAATGTCTTTAAATAGACAGACAATTCTTTTGATAGGTTGTGGATGCTCTAAGCAGGCGAGATGTGTCTGCTACTTTGTTTGCTATTATGCAGTTGGAGTCTAATAGGGTGGAGAGACTACACTAGGCAACCAAGGAAGACATAACCTATACGAAGCTAATCGACCTCATATGAGAAGGGACAATATGACAATGTTCGTTGGAGAATGGCCTTTTGAATGCAAAAAGGGGTTAGATATATGTTCTAAGTTGGAAGCTGACGAAGTACTTCATGTTAGACTCATGACCTATAATGAGCAAGCCATCCAGGACAAGAAAATGTTGGTTCTCCTGTCCCAAACATATCGTTGGCTGAAGATGGAAGAAGTCATGCAAGACATGTCTTATGTGCCAACAGGACAAAGTGTTGCGGCAAATAAAAGAAGGCTTGTTTCATCCTATGCCAATTCTAGCAAGACCTTAGGTATTGGTTTTGATGGATTTTGCTGTGGGGTTTGTGAAAGATGATGGAATGAATGTTGTAATGATGGTTGTGGACATGTTCACTAAGTATGCAATATTCATTGCCATTGCGACTTTATGTTCGGCTAAGGTAGTTGTGGGGTTCTACCAAAATGCAGTGAAATATTTCTGAATTTCATTGGACATTGTCAACGATCGTGATGTTTGATTCACTAGCAAATTTTGGACAACATGTTTAACTAGAATGGAACTAGGCTAAACATGGGCAGATGAAGAGGGTAAATGATTGTTAGAGGAGTGCATGAGACATGTGACAACAATGCAACGAAACCAATTAGAGTTGTTGGATAATGCTTAGTTATGCTACAACCTCCACAAATCTTTAGCAACAAAAGCAAGTCCATTTAAGTTGGTGTTGGGAGCGCAACCCCAAAATCTTATGGAGATAGTGATACAGAGATCAGGTGTGAAAAGTCCAACTACATGCAAGTTTGCTAAGGAGAGGCTTGAGCTATTTGAATAGGTTGATGATAACTTGCGTAAAGTGAGCAAGAGGATGCAAAAGTACACAGGCCTAAAGAGGAGACCCTTGGAGTTTGACAAAGGTAATAAGGTGTTGTTCAAGTTAACTCTACAGATTTAGAAAAAAATCATTGGGCTAAATAAGGATTGTTGGTTGCATTTAGGTTAAAGTTACTGGAGCGACTAAAACTTTATCCTATATTCCACGTGAATTATTTGAAATCATTTCATGAAAATCTAGTGAGAAGCAAGTCTAGTAAACACCTCCTATAATTCAAAAGTAGTTTGATAATACGATTGTTACAATCCTAAATCACCGCATTCTTGGTCATGCATAAGAAAAATTGTTGAACCAAATTCTTGGTGAAGTGGGAGAAGAGAGGAAACAAATTTATGGTAGTTTGAAGATAAAGTACAAAAGTATTTTGCTTCTATATCCTAACGAGGGTGTTAGACTCTTCTAGTAAAGGAGGTTTGTTAGAGGCCTAGGTTTGGCCTGATGGTTTGTGGGAGGCAAATTAGTTGCAAGGGCGTGCCAACAAAAACATTGTAACGAAGGATGCCATAGGTGTTGACAACTTATATGAACAATGAAAAAATTTGCAAGCAACATATAGCAATATGTGCGAGCATTGGGTTAATGTCTTGCACGATTTCTGACTTAGATCATAGACTGTCCAAGACAAGTAGAAACACGATAATTATTGCAACATGGGTGTTGATAGATTGGCCTGATGGTTTGTAAGAGGCAAACTAGGAAAGTTGCAACAGTTATTGGCAGTTACTTATTGAAATAAAACTAACCAAAACTTGTAACTATCTATTAAAAAGTTTGTTGGAAATTAGCGAGACAATTTTCATTTGTAACTTGCATATTTTGTTCTTTAAATAGGTTGTAAAATACTATATAGGAAGTAAGTTATGTGCATAGAGCATGCACAAGGGGCTTATGTAATTTCTTTGTCAAGAGTTTAATAAAGATTGTGATTTTTCCAATAATTGCATTGTTCTTCCCATTTGCTTATGTATATTTTGCTTGTTTACAACAAGTAAGAATAGGGAAATCCTTTTTTAGTGAAGGAAACACTTGGTTGTAGGCAAACATGAGTGAATTGGTGAGTATGGGTTGAGTCTATATTACCGTACAATGAGCTAAAATTTGTGTGAAAAATTTGCCATGTGATAATTGATAGAGTAATGATGAAAAAGAGATTTGGATGTTGGATGTGGGAGGGTCCTATGTATGAATTGTGTTTAATTTACCCTGTTCATGCTAACAAATGTATTTTTGGAGACTGGGCAAACTGACTAGAAGACTTTTATTAGTGACATCTAGTCAAAATGTGTAGTGACAGCATGTCTCACCTGAATATCATGTTTCTGAGGTTAACAATACAAGAAGGATCCATGTGCTGCGCCAAACTTATGGATGAAATTCCTGCTATATCCACCGTGCACGTGTGCGTGAGTTTATTGTTTGACAAGGCATAGCGAAGGAGATTTCTTTGTTCCTTTCCTGTGGTGTTATTTACTTGCTCCTTGCTCCTTGCACCATGATGTGGCCAGCTTGATCTCTGTTTCCTTTTAAAAAAATGTTCTTAAGGTATTACATGGCTTCACCCTTGTTACCTGGAAAATGGTTTTTGAAAAGTGCACAGTCAAACCAATGTACATGGAATGTTGATAAATATAATGCAGCATTTACCACTTAGAGTGCAACAGAGTACATAAAGGGCAGACTTCTTCCAAGTGTGAATTCAGGAACTTAGGATGTAGCATGGTCATGTTGAATGGGAATGCCATGATGGACTGGTAACTAGATAATACAAGTTCCTTAACTAGTATTTCATTGACTTGACTCATTACTAGCAGTGTGAAATAATTGGGGAATATTTTAACTTGAAGTTTCACTTGGAGTTTGTGAATTTTTGGATTTTACTTTTCCAACTATACTTGATTTAACAAACATACAATAATTGGATCACTGAGAGTTCTTTTCAAGATTTATAATCCAAAGATATGAAATGCTCTCTCAAGTAGGTGTGGAAAATTGTCATATCTTACTGTGACTCTGCTGGTTGCATTATAAATGTTGTTTTGGCTCCCGACTCCCTTTGTTAGCCGATTCACCTGTGAATTTTTGTTTCAGAGATTTTGATTCTTGGTTGTGGAAGATGCACTCAACCAGTAGATCCTGAACTTAGGCGCTTCATTCGGTCTACTGGCATGAAGTTGGAAGCTGTTGACTCGGTATTCTTTTTTATATAGCTTTTTCTATGTATGAGAAAAAGTAAACCAAAATTTTGAAATGACTAGCAATGAGTTTAAACAATGACAAACTTACATAACAAGTTTGTTTGATCCTTAGGAATTTTGTAATTGTTTATGGAATTTTCCAAATTCTAAATTGCCTTCTTGTAATCTCTGGATGATTAAATAGCAGTAAATGTTCTGTTTGGAAAGGAAAAACCTGATAACCTTCCCAGAAAAACTGATAACAGATGTCAAATGTATTCCTCCCGCATTTTAAACTTGATGAAATGTTGCTGACTTCCACTACAATGTTTATGATACCTTAGCTTTATTTTTTTGCAGAGGAATGCTGCATCAACCTACAACATACTGAATGAGGAAGGGAGGCCTGTGGCTGCTGCACTTCTCCCATATGGAGTTTCTTCATGATGCCTAAATTCTTGAGTTGCATCCTTTTCCAGTCAAATCTCCACGATCACTTGGCTGATTTCACCTTTATTTCACGCGAGGCCTCCGGAAAGTCCTTAACTACATAGCCAGTAGCGACTTGCATAAGATTGTCAATTTACATGTATTTAGAAAAAGGTTTTTGTTAGGATGCGTAATATTCTGCAGTTCTTGTGCTGATAAGAGAGGCTCATGCTACAAATGACTGTACTAGCATTTTAATATCATCCTTCCCTTTTGATTTCCTTGCTGTTTGTTATTTATTTGTTTATTATCAGCCTCTTTGGTGGGATGTTACGCTCTGACCTTGAAATATTGGTATTTTTTTCACTAATATTTTGGGTGAGAGGCTGTTAGACCCTATCCTTGATTCTTGTGAAATGGGCAATAACTCTATTACTTTGTTCTTCTTGTTGTGGTTTGTTTGTTTAGTAGAGATTTCATCATTTTTAAGAATGGGTTTCCTATTATTTGATAATTATCCCATTTCTACAACTATCCAACCATAATAAATACATGATGTTTACATTTCCAGATATAAAATAATAAATAATTAACACATTTTTTAAATTTTGCTTCTTTTTTTTTTCCATTCAATTACGTGTCATATTAGAAATATGTATTTCGTAAGAACCATGAAACCTCGATGACAATGTATTAATTTCATAGTTTTTGCCATGCGATGAACTGCAAGTTAGATTAAAAAGGTTTTGAAAGTAAAAATCTTGTTTAGGACTTAAGATATTATTTGATATTTTTAATAAACTTAATTTATTGAGTTAATTTTAAATTTTTTTAACTCGGCTTTTTACATTGCTTGAATTTATAATTAACACAAGCAAAAATTAATCTGATATAACTTTGTTAGCTTGACTAGTTTAAACGTAATTAGAATGATTAGTAACAAGTATAATTTAATCTGAAAAAAGAAATTTAAGATGATATTTTTTTAAATAAAAATATCTATATATTTAAATTAACTTGGATTTTTTATCTTAATTCACTAAACCTATGATCCATATCATGAATTTTACTGAATTTAACTATTTTTTATTCAATAATATAATAAAAAAAATTAATGCCTCTAAAATTCAGCATAAACCACATATAGGAACAATTGTTTTAGATTGTGATAATCTCATACAAAACAAATCAAAATAAAATTATAAAAACTAATTTAAAAATAACTAAATGAATTAAAAGATAAAACTTAAAAATAAAAAATTATTTGATATTATTATTAAATTAGATGCAATAAGTCAACTTTGAAATCTTTTAATTTGACTCCTTGTTTAACTTAGGTTTAAAATTAACCAATGAATTTTTTTTATACGACTTAATTAATTTAATATGTTTATAAATAACCAAGATGATTAGTAAGAATATGGTTTGATTGTTTAAAATTATATTACTTTTTTTTTAAAAAAAAAATAATAATATATTAAATTGATTAGATTTTGTAACTGAACTCTCAATCTCCTTCATGAAAACAATCTAAATACTAACCTAAAAAATAAAAATAAATAGAATAAAATAAAGATTGCATTGCTCCCTGGTAACATCACGTAAACCAAGTCTTTTAGCATGTCTAGATAATACTTTCCTTTGTCCTACTTTGTATTTAAAGAATTTTTCTCCATCAAGTTTGTTGGTTTTCTATTGATAAAAAGAACATAGTGTTTTGTGATTACAATATCACATTTAATAGTTAATATAAAAATAACTATTAAATTTTATCATAAACTATTGCATGTGTAACTATAATAATTAAATAAAAAATCAATTGTTTAAGAAATAAATTTGATGAATAAAACCAATATATATAATGGAGTTTAAATTTCCCGGTTGCCTTTCTCTCTCTATTTTTTTTTTTAAATACTTTTCAAACCCGTTTAAATGGATGGATAATACGATCTGCAATAAAGCCAATATCACATCAGGATAATGAATTTTGCCCTAAGGTATTAACATTTTTTTTTAATGATATGCAAATTGACACTTACAAATACAAACTAATATTCAATTTTTTTTCTTAAATTAGATAATACTAGATTACACACTGCGCGCTATGTTGTAGTTCAAATTATTATTTTTTTAAAATATATAAAAAAATATTTAGGCTATAAGAATTATTTTATATTATTATTAAATGTAACTTAACAGTGAACATTAAAATTTTCTAATCCAATTTTTTATTTAATTTTAATTTAAAATTAAATTATATAAAAGTTATTAAAATATCTTTTTTACAGTAAAGGATGAGATTGACACCCAACTCTCTTAAATGCATTACTTGTGATTTTATTTGCATTTTATGGTTGAATATTTTTCAATAAAAAATAGACATGCAAGCTTTCAAATGCCTTTTTTTACATAAAAAATCCTAGTTATAAATTAAAAAAAAATCTAATGCAAGAATCTAATTAAACAAATAAAGAATTATATATGTCAATAAATGAAAAAAATTATTGATGATAACAAAAAATAAAACTAAAAAAATAAGAAAAAAATATAAATCAAAATATTTAATCTAATAACATATGATATTTACCTAATTATGTTTATCGAGTTTGTTTATTAAATTTAATTTTTTATTTAATTAAACAATAATAAAAATAAACATACACATAAAATTGATTGAATAAAAAAATATTATGAAAAGCTAAACAAAATAAATATATTATCTAAAAATAAATATATTTTATTTTTAAAAATAAAGTTCATCTTTTAAAAATATTAAAAAAGAAATATAGATGAATCAAAATTATCCTTTTAAAAACTCAATATATATAAAATACTTTTTTAAAAAAAAATCTATTTAAAAAATGCTAAACAACCTACAACAAGAAAAAATCATAGAGGAGGGATATTAATTGAAAAATAAATAAATACAAATATTTTAAAAATATATATGTATAAAAATATCAATTAAAAAAAATAGTCGAAAAGTTATGACTTAACCCATTAAATTTAAAATCTAAATTATGGACTTAACCATGATCAATAATAAAAAAAAATTTGTTTTGTTTTTAAACCTAAATATAACATTAAAATATTAATAAAAACTAAAAAAAAGAAGCTGGAGTGCGCCATCCTATGACCCAACATGCTTGAGCTATATAAGCAAGAGTTTAAACTTGTCGCATGCTCCTATTTTTTAAGGAAAAAAAAACATAAATGATATGTCATCTATTGAAGTGAATAATGTGTCATATGTGAGCTTAGATTCCAATCACAATTGTGATAGCCAGAAAATAAAGGTATTATTGTTTTCAGCTAAAATAAATAAAATCAATTTTTAAGTTATTTCAACTTAAAAACATTTGATTAAATATTCTTATAATACCTACAAACTAATTCATTAACCCAAAATATATATAAAAGGGTTTAAAAATTCAAAATCAAACAAATTAGATTTGGTTTTATCTACTTAAATCTATTTTTTTAAACAATATTAAGTTCTAAATAATAATTATTAAGCCCCATCTCATTGTATAAAACTCGTGAAAGCTATTTTGGTTAGAAATGATGTTGTTGATGATAATTTCCTCTTTCATTATTAAAATTTAAAAATCTCTTTCTTTCTTATCTACTCGTGAAAGCTATTTTGGTTAGAAATGACGTTGTTGATGATAATTTTCTCTTTCATTATTAAAATTTAACAATCTCTTTCTTTCTTATCTCTGACTAGGAGATAAAAATAATAAAAAATAAATTTTGTATAAAAATTAAAATTTTAAAATGAAAGAGACCTAGATTGTATTGTTTTCAAAGATAGAGAACCTATGGACATGTACCTATATTTGGTGACTTTTAAATTTTGATCCTTCTTTTTTTAATTTTAATTGCTTAAAAAATCAAAATTAATTAATCCTCCATCGGGATTAAATTGTTTAAAATAAAAACTTGAGAACTAAATTAGACAAAAAAAATAACTTACAATAAACCCTATTTTTTTTAAATATTATAAATTTTTTATTTGTTTAAAATTAGTTTTTTTTGTTTTCATAATATTTAACAAGATAAATTTTAAAAAATAAAAAAATATTATTTTAATATATTTTTAAATAAAAAATATTTCTAAAAATAACTTTTATTATAAATTAACTCTCTAAACTTTGTTTTTCTACGTTGAGAAGGCCATGCTTTTTAGTGATTTTTATAATACAATAATGAAATTTTAATTTTAAAAGAACTGGATAAAAGAAATGAAGAAATAAAAAGAAAAAGAAAAAAGAAAAGAGGAGGATCGACAAAATTTAGTCACCGGTGGAGGAGAGCCAACAGAATGAATGCTGAGAAACCTAACGAAGCTATAAAACCTCCTCCTCCTCCTCTTCTCTCTCTCTCTCTCTCTCTCTACACGCATATACACCTGGAAAGAAAGGAAAAGGAAAAAAAGAAATAAAGAAGGCTTCCGCAAATAATGGTATCACTGCTTCAATGCCCTCCCTCACCATTTCGTTCTTCTTTCTCCTCCAACAATCCCCGCTCCCCCTTCCTCCGCTTTCACTTCCCTCTCCGTCACGCCGTCGTAAGTTCCTCTTTGTCTTTCTTTCTTTTCCCCTTTCTCAGTTCTTGATTGAGCTACCATACTATTAATCCCTTAAAGAATTCTTGGAATAATTGCTTTCTTTTCTTTTGTATTTATTTGGTGTTGATTGCCTCTGCTGCTGTTACTGCTACTAATACTCTTTTGATGCGTTGATTTTCTGTATCAGAGATGTAATCTGGTGGAGCCCATCAAGTTTGACAACGGCAAGCCTTACATCCCGCTCCTCAACACCTCGGCCCATCATTTATCCTCCACTGCCACTTCCCATTTAGATAACACTCTTCCACCTTTCAACAAACATGACACCAGGCTCCGCATTTTCTCTGGCACTGCTAATCCTGCTCTCTCTCAGGTACTTCTTCTTGTTTTTTTTTCTTTTACTTCTTGGAATGAATATTGCTATTAATCTTTATCCAATAATTTCATTTTATAGGAAATTGCTTGCTACATGGGTTTGGAGCTTGGCAAGATTAAAATTAAGCGTTTTGCGGACGGGGAGATTTATGTCCAATTGCAAGAAAGTGTCAGAGGCTGTGATGTTTTTCTTGTCCAACCCACCTGTCCTCCTGCCAATGAGAACCTTATGGAGCTGCTGATTATGATTGATGCTTGTCGCAGGGCGTCTGCTAAGAATATTACCGCTGTTATTCCTTATTTCGGCTACGCCAGGGCCGATAGAAAGGTAATGCTTCCCGGAGCTGAATCGATAGATACTTTTTTTTTTAGTTAATTTTTATTCATTGTTTCGACTTTCTGGCTTTCCAGACTCAAGGGCGAGAATCCATTGCTGCCAAGCTTGTCGCGAATTTGATTACTGAAGCAGGTGCAAATCGTGTTCTTGCTTGTGATCTTCATTCCGGGCAGTCCATGGGGTATTTTGACATTCCTGTGGATCATGTGTATGGTCAGGTAAAGAACCCACTCTCCCTTCGACTGCTATTTCATTGCATCATTCAAAGATATAGCTATTGGAGTATGATATAGAGTTTTGAAATTATTTTAACAGTTCTTGTTATGCTGTCAATATGGACCAGTGAGAAAGCCATGAAAACCTTAATTGCTGTAATCGTCTGTTCAATGGTAATTATTTGTGTTTTTCTTTTGTGCATCACCAGCCTGTGATACTCGATTACCTTGCTAGCAAGACTATATATTCTGATGACTTGGTGGTGGTCTCCCCTGACGTTGGAGGTGTAGCAAGAGCTCGTGCTTTTGCCAAGAAATTATCAGATGCACCTCTAGCCATTGTTGATAAAAGACGTCATGGACACAATGTTGCAGAGGTAAAATATGCCAAATATGCTGCTCTTTTCTTATGCTTCAAGATGGTCTGGTTGTATTGAGAATTGAGATAAAGATAGAAACACTGTTTATATGCTTTTTAGGTTCAGTCACGGTCTTTAAAGTTGAAGATCGAGTGCCCCCCTAATTCCTACCACCATCTGCTTTCCCTTTGTTTCATGCGATGAGAATTGAAACATCCATATGATGTTCCCTTCTTTTTATTTCGTCCTTTTTTATGGGGTTGAAACGGTCACAACCTGATTTCTTCATATGCATTGAATTCACTAGATTGTAATGATGGTACTGTCTGCTAAATGTCATCTTTCAGGTGATGAATTTGATTGGTGATGTGAAGGGGAAAGTTGCAGTTATGGTAGATGACATGATTGACACAGCTGGTGAGTTTTGCTCAACTCTTATTTGCTGTCCTTATTCATGTATTGGAAAATGCATGCTGCAGAAGCTATGCCTTTATATCCTAGGTGTAGTTTGGGAAGAGGAAAAACAAAAAAAAACAACAACAGTAGTTTGCCTTTTCTTCCGGCATGACTAGGATACTGTAGTCAAAGTTATCAGTACCACACATGAAGATGACTCACAGAAGGCTGAGGTCATGGTTTTCACTGGGCCGGCTGTTGGTAAATTAATTGTACCTTTGATCTGTTAGTGATAAATCTAACATTTAAAGGAACTTATCCAGGAAATCTTTAAAAATTAGTCGTAAAACAGTATCTCTGTGCCTAATATTTTGAAACAGTGGATTTTGTTATCTTATGTGGTTAAGTATTTGTTCCATAATTCAGTTATGTCTGCTATAGTTTGTCAAAAACAGGGTCAAAGTTACTGAAGTCAGTTTTGTCTGTATAGTGTGCCAAAATCAGGCTCAAAGTTGCAGAAGTAAATATAAATTTCGAAGGTGTTACTAGAGGGTAATAATTATAACAGTATAAATGTAAAGTGCATTTGGTCTTTCAATAGCCAATGTGTAATTTTGTGTAAAAGTTATGAAAATTTACGGTGTTTCACCTTTTCCCTCTTCAATTTCTCACATGGTCCCGACAAATAAGCAAAGAGTCTGATTCACAGTTGAGCCAGTCTAGTCTTTGATTTGATCAGATGCTGATAGCCATTGTTCTTGCCTTTTTTTTTCCTGGTGATCTTACCCAATGTTAGTTGCCTAACATTTCAAATTCTTGTTTTTTCATTGTTAAATGTTTCCTATGCACTATTTGTTGCAGGAACTATTACCAAAGGTGCAGCTCTATTACATCAAGAGGGGGCAAGGGAGGTCTATGCATGCACTACACATGCTGTTTTCAGGTATCTGGATATTATCGAGTTCACTAATCTATGTAATGCGTGCTAGTATAAGATTATCTAGTATCTTTAATAGATTGACACATCAGTTAGTTATTTTTTTTTTTTGTAAAAAAGAATTAAGCTAAATTTCTAGCATTATTCCTAGGAAAATTGTTTTCTCCTCAGAGAGTTGGTGCACATTTTGGACAGCATTGGTGTTGGGTTAAGAAATTAGAAAAGCATTGATAGCTTGGATTTCTAATGATGCATTGGATGTAGATAATATGCAGGTAACACTAGCATACTATCTCCACGTGGTCTCTGATCACTACAAATGAAATCAAAGTTATATACCAGATTTGACAGCAGCCATGTATTATTCAACCAATAGATAGAACTTCTATAGGTCAAATTGATTCTGTAGATCATAGATACTTTCCTCTTATCAATTATTAGAGCATATGATCGAATGTTCAGCAAACCTGCAACTGTGCATGTTAACCATGCATCTGATTGTTGTTGCTCAGATTTTCACTACCTTTTTCTGTTTGCAGCCCTCCTGCCATTGAGAGGTTATCGAGTGGTCTTTTTCAAGAGGTTATCATAACAAACACGATTCCAGTGTCAGAGCAGAACTATTTTCCCCAGCTTACAGTCTTGTCAGTAGCTAACCTCTTGGGCGAGACCATATGGCGTGTTCATGATGACTGCTCTGTGAGTAGCATCTTTCAGTAAAATTGGATCTATATGATCAATTACAAGTGAAATTAACACTCCTTCCCAATGAAATTCACCCATTTTTTCTTCCTGCATGAGGTGTCAATGTGTTGCAGATTTTGTTTTATTCTTTTCTTGGCAATGCGTGCATCTGGAAGAATGAATGGTGCTGACATAGTGTAGCCCAAATTGTAGTTAAGAAGTTTGAAAAAGAAAAAAAAACAAGGATTTAAGAAAAAAAGCCATTCCTTTTTAATTTAAAAACTAAAATGAAAATCCTTACCATTCTTTTGATAGATTCTCAACTATTGCCATTGCTCCACATTTGCCATGTGTTGTTCTTCCTTTAGGGTTCTATCCAAGTCATTGTAGTTTGGGGAGTTCAGATCATAGATTTATATAACTCAATGGTACCAATAGATTAGATTCATTCTCGGTTTTTTTCTCATTGTCAGGGTGGCATTGAACCCTATTCCAGCTTGGGCATTGATTGATCAATTTACATGGTGTGTCTCCCAGCTTGAACTACTGCCAAATTTAGATTTGTCTTCGGGAAGTGTTACTGGATTGTAGAAAACTCAAACAACTTTATGTTTAGAGAAGTCGTATCTTTAGTTTTGTATGGAGGCATCGGGTTGATTGGCAGATTTTTGGTAGCTTGAATTAGATTCCTTGTTTAGGTTTTTTCAATGTTTCTTATACTCCTGAATGTTTTGATGAGAAACTTTTGGAAGAGTTTTCTGCTTATAAATGATGCATGCAGAAAGGTATATCAATGTTGAGTTGATGTCGTATCAGTGGAAGCTCCTGCTCCACCATTGTTATCTATATTTAACATGGATTGGTTTCTTGCTCGTGAGAATTGAGAAAGACTCGCCAGGATGAAATCAAGTGCCAGTTGGGTTAGTTACTGTTTTCTGCACTTGGCAATGCCCGCCGATTTGGTGCTTCAGTGAAGTTAAAGGCCTATGAATTGTAATAATCTGCGCTCGATGATGTCGGAATGCATGGCTGCTTGATGAAGAGCTAATTCCTAGTTTATTTACTGAAAGCAAACCCATTCCTTCCATGCATGACGGAGGCAACTGAGCATTCCTTTTCTTTCCTTCTTTTTTTCTCAACTCAAGGCGGTCAAAAAGTCAAAAATATCATTTTAGGACAAGTTAAAAATTGTAAACTTATCTATTTTTATTTACCTTACCTTACCGCAGTTCAAAAATAAAAAATGACAGCAGTGCTCGTAAATTCTTTCAGTTACAGCCACCATTTTATTTTTTTGTTTTAAAAGAATGGTTTTTTTTTTTAAGTTATTTTTTATTATATATCTAAAATATTTTTTTTTAAATAAAAAAATCAGTTATCTTGATAGAAATAACTCGACCACAGTGCCAACCCCCAACAGACTCACCGTCACTCACTACCTCACCGTCACTGATATGGAAAACCTCCTGGGGCTGTCTGGTGCTAGGGTTTGTTTTCTTTTTGCAAATCTGATTTGATCTGTCTATCCCTTTTGTTTTCTTGGCGGGAATTAACTCTACCCTCTTTCTAAAAAAAAAAATCCCCAAATTAAAATACAAAAAGAAACCCTAGAAAGCAAAAGAAGAGTAGCGTATCATATCCAAGTTGAAGAAATAAAGAGGAGAGGGTGATGGGGAAAGACGAAGACGAAATGAGGGGAGAGATAGAAGAACGATTGATAAACGAAGAGTACAAGATATGGAAAAAGAACACGCCTTTCCTCTACGACCTTGTCATCACTCATGCCCTCGAATGGCCTTCTCTCACGGTCGAATGGCTTCCCGATCGCGAGGAGCCTCCTGGCAAGGACTACTCCGTTCAAAAGATGATTCTTGGCACCCACACCTCCGAGAACGAGCCTAACTATCTCATGCTTGCCCAGGTCCAGCTTCCTCTTGACGACGCAGAAAACGACGCCCGTCACTACGATGACGATCGCTCCGATTTTGGAGGATTTGGCGCCGCCAATGGCAAGGTTTTGCTTTCTTTTTTTTTTGTGGCTTTACAAGATTTTGGTTTTATTTTGTTTCTCAGATTTGATGTGATCGATTTTAATTTTGTAGGTGCAAATAATTCAGCAAATAAATCATGATGGGGAGGTGAATAGGGCGCGGTATATGCCGCAAAACCCATTCATGATAGCTACCAAGACAGTTAGTGCTGAAGTTTATGTCTTTGACTACAGCAAGCACCCATCTAAGCCGCCTCTTGATGGTGCTTGTACTCCTGATTTGAGATTGAGGGGTCACAGCACTGAAGGCTATGGTTTGTCTTGGAGTAAGTTTAAAGAAGGGTATTTGCTTAGTGGTTCTGATGATGCTCAAATTTGCTTGTGGGACATTAACACCACTCCTAAGAATAAGTCTCTTGATGCCATGCAAATCTTTAAGGTTGGTTTGCATGCCCATATGTTCACTATGATGTTTCTTTTCGAGTAGTTATTGAGAAATAAAGCATAAATTTTTGTGTTTTTTTTAAGATATGCCAATGTGTGTGATGATTTAAAGTACTGTCTTATAGGTTCATGAAGGTGTTGTAGAAGATGTAGCGTGGCATCTGAGACATGAACATTTGTTTGGTTCTGTTGGGGATGATCAATACCTGCTTATATGGGATCTCCGAACTCCATCTGTTACTAAGCCTGTCCATTCCGTAGTTGCTCACCAGAGTGAGGTATGCCATGCATTTTTGTGATTCCTTCGTGATGTAATAAACTAATTGTTTAGTGGCTAAGACATGGTTTTTTACCTTCATATGCAATCTGAAACCTGTGACTTGACATGTTCCATGTGAAATGATCTGTAATTGTGCTATTAATTGCTCAAAAACTTGTGCCTTGCAATCAGAAGGTTCTGTATTGGTGAATTCGTATTTGTCAAAAGGTTTCCTCATACACATGCGAGTTTTTGTTGCTTTGAAAGCTGATGAGTTTTTTTTTATTCTTATTCTAAAAACCATGCTGTTTGCCAGTGTTGACATGTCATGATGCATATATCTCTTTTTTTTATTTTATTTGATGTGATTTCTTTTTATGTTCTTGTCTTAGGTTAACTGCTTGGCTTTTAATCCTTTTAATGAATGGGTTGTGGCAACGGGGTCTACTGATAAGACTGTCAAGTTATTTGACATACGGAAGATCAATACTGCACTTCATACATTTAACTGTCACAAGTAAGCATACACGGGGAATTCTGTATTATTCGTCCAGGCATACGTCTGTGGTGTGTATTGTTTACGAGTGGCACTCACATGCAAGCATGGATGCATGAACAGATCACCTCAAAACTTGTTATTTAATATCTTCTGTACTTTATTTTTTCCGTGATGTACACAGGGAGGAGGTTTTCCAAGTCGGGTGGAATCCAAAGAACGAGACTATCTTAGCTTCTTGTTGCCTTGGTAGAAGGCTTATGGTCTGGGATCTTAGCAGGTTTGTCATTGAAAAAACCCAGTGAGCTGTTAATTGATATTTCTTAGGTTTACTGGTTGCCGGGTTTGAGGTTTGCTTTGAGCTTTTATTTGGATAAGCCAACACCACATGAGGATTGTTTTGAGCTACATTTGCTTTGTTTAATGTGGGGCTCTACCTTGCAGGATTGATGATGAGCAGACACCAGAGGATGCTGAAGATGGCCCACCAGAATTGCTTTTCATTCATGGTGGTCACACCAGTAAAATATCAGATTTCTCATGGAACCCATGTGAAGATTGGGTTGTTGCTAGTGTAGCTGAAGATAACATCCTTCAGATATGGCAGATGGCAGAGAATATCTACCATGATGAAGATGATATACCAGCAGATGAATCAACAAAAGATTCCTAGTGTATTTACCAGGCTCTAATAGTATATTATCAATCACACGACGGGTGCTTGTAGGATCTTTTTAGTTTTTTAGTCGCCTTTTTTTTTTGGTTAGCCTCCAATAGATCTCCCGTGTATGGAGGCTCTTTTTTCGATCCTTGTTCCGAACTTTTTTGGGTCAAATGTGGTCGCTTGTGCGTTGTTTGGATGATGCTTTGCTGCGGCGTTGCACAAGGTCATAATCTGGTTTAAAAGATGAAGCGCCTGCCGGAGAAAATCATATAACAGAAGAAGTTTAAGTGGGTTAGCTATTCTCTTTAGTTTATTCCAGATGGCCAAAACGTTTGATTCTTAAGCTTAGCACACAATGTGTCCCAAGGATTGGTATATATTCATGGACGTCCGATGCTATGCTAGAAAAAGCTATTGAGTGTGTGAGATATTGTGAGCAGCGTTTTTTCTTTCTTTTGTTTTAAAAAGAATTAAAATGATTCTTTTATATGCCAAACATGCTTAGCGCAACGCAGATTGAAACAAAATGATAAACATTCTCTTAGTTACTGTGACAGCAGCTTTCTTCATACCAAATCTAAATTTTACACATCCTGAACACAGAATGCAAATTTGGAAGCTGCTTTGGCCAAAATTATCTGCTGAATCTTCAGGTGTCATGGTTTGCATCCAAATCTTCTACGTTGAGTGGCCCCCCGGCAGCTGTACTCTGAGCGGGTGTCTGATGCTGCTGCGGGTGGTTTTTGGTGTCATCAGAAGCCATCATGAAGTGGAAGCCCATGATATACCTATACTCTCCACTTCCAAGGCAACGGGAGCAGTAGCTGAGGCCACTACCACCACAAGTCCTGCACCTGCAACACAACAAGTGTAATTGATTTTACAATGGAGTTGTTAACTTCGATATATTAACAGCAGTACTGATTCCATTAATCCACTTAAGAAATCAATCTGCTGATAGCTCACCATTTAGGCCATTCACCTTCAGGAAGCATTGCTAAATGCACACAGTTAGTCCTGCCTACAGAATTTAAATAGAGTTACAACCAATTTTAAATCAAATGCTAGTAAAAGGCAGGAAACACCATAATTCATTATCATATCAGAATAAAAAGAAAGAGAGATACTGGGAGGTTGGTTGACACCTTGTCCAGAACAATAGGGGCAATCAACTCTACCGGTTCCATGACAGACCTCACAAGGTGGGTCTGGCCTCTTCCTTATTTCTTTCCGTACATTTGACTGTCCAAAGTATACAAGTATTAGCAGTGTAGAGAATTATAATGGGTAGAAGAGGGGAAGAACGGAAATGAAATTGATAGTTACATACCTCTGTTCTGACAACCCAAGATGGCTTTGTGAGGGAAAGGTGGTGTGGGTTTCTTCTACTTGTACCAAAACGTTCTTCTTTTCCTGCAACAACAGCTGTCTTCTTACTATTCTTTGCGCTGTCCAATTCTAGTTGATCCAACCATACAGCCTTCAGCAGAGTGGCCGCCGCCGTGCTCACTGCCATTATTTTTTCATCTACTTACACCAACTGCCACTGTGGCACATCGACAGACAGACATATTAATAATTTTTTAAATTTATCATAATTGATTCTGTATTAATTTACCTTGAAAAAAAATCCTTCTCTTTTTGGGATCTACATATATAACAAATGGTATAAAAAGGAAAAGAAAGCCCTAAATACAAAATTACCTCTTAAACCCTTGTAACCTACAAAATCCCTCCTCCATCCCTTAAGAAAACCTCTTCAGAGCTGATTCCACTTGACGAAAGCCAAAACGAGAGTAAACGGGCTACAGGAGATTGATGGACACAATCAAGCCGATGGAGTATCAGGACAGAGTAAACTGGTGGCTCATGACATAGAGTTGGAGAGGGAGGGGAATGCAGGGAAGGAACCGATTACATTGCTGGCTTCTAAATCCAAATGAACTCAGAATGTAAAAGCTGACACTGATCTTTCGCTTGTTGAGAAGGTATTGGTTGCAGAAGCCCGTTCATAATATCCCCTCAGATAACAGTACGAGGTTTCCCTTTGTTTCTCGAACGTTTTTTTTTGCAACGTTTGTAATGGAATTGTTTGGAACCAAATAATCAATTCTTTAGTTTAGAATATGAAGAGCTATTAATATAAATTATAAATAGAATTCAATTGCTATAAAATAATAAAAATTAAATTACAGAAAAGACCATCTAATTTACTATAGTAATTTCTCTTAGAATCGACACTAAAAACAATATTCTAAAAATATACTTGTCTAAATTGGTTGCTAGAATCTATATATGGACTCCTTCTCTTCTTCTCTTTCTCATTCAGATTATTTGGGCTTGTTAATTTTGCATTCCATTCTCATAATCATGTTTGTGTTTTTGTTTATATCTATTGGTATATATGTACACATTACTAGCTAATTAATAGTTGATATTTTCTTCATGGTATGGTATGGCATGTTGCAAGAAAGGAAATGTACTAGGTTCATAAAGAAACAAGGCTAGTTTCTCGATGCAATTTATCACGCGTCAACGGTGTTAGAGTAATTATCCTACTGAAATAGGATCATTGTAGTGTGCGAAAAAAAAAAAAATTATGTTTTAGTATTTTAATTATTAAAATTTTTAACTGATATTAGAATTTAAATAAATAAAGTAATTGTATATAGAAATGATGTATTATCTCTAATACATCTTATTTAAGATAAGTTGTATTTTTTTTATCTGATATAAAATAAAATACTGTTGTGTTTTCTAACCATTTATCTATTTAAAATTTAAGAAAAGTCATCATTGGTAATAAGGAATATGAAAGATTTTATTTTATCAGATTAAAAACTAATCATTCTAAAGTAATAAATAAAAAAATAAAAAAAATATATTTTTATTCAATATCGAGAATACGTTTTACGTATAAATTTATAGTCTCACAAGTTAAAAGTAACAAATTCATAGTCTCATAAATTAAAAGTAATAAAATAATTTTTTTAGTATATTTGAAAGATAAACCAAGTTCTCATGACTTTAATAAATTAGTTATTAAATCTAAAAATATATGCAAATTTATCAACAAAACTATTATTATTTTTTTAATTTTTGTATTTAAAGATGTTAAATCACATTGATTAGTACTTAAAAATATATTTTTATCAAGGTTTTATATCATTATTTTGCACTTGAAGTATCAATAACTCCTTAACTAAAGCATGCTTTATAATAATATATCTAATAATATAAGATACATTTAATTTTTGATAAATGTTCATTTTAAATGCAGGCCTATCACATAAATGAAAGGATTGATTCATGAATTTAAGAACTGAAATTGAAAGGATAAAAAGATGGCTAAACTTAGAAAAGAGATGTCGGTGTAATCCAAACTAGAATACTATTCGGTAATTGGGTCATATCTGGAGCTATAGATCTCAGATTTAGGTCTACTTTATATGGGTGGAAAGGTAAGACATAGGCCTACAACTTTCATATGGAGCCCAAATCTAAAAATGTCATTTTCAAGTCTAAATTGTAGCAACAACAAAGAAGCTCGAATATGTCCTCCAGCCCGAGCACAGTTTAGTATTTTAGCTATATTTGGAGTTCTAGAAGTTGAAATGAGCTGAATTGTTTACACAAGAAAGATGAGATAATTTTCTACAACTTTCATGTTCTCAAGTGGCTCTAATTTTGACATTATCAATGACGTTTTGGACAGACAAGAGAAAATAAGGATTGTCACCAAGTCAAGAGTTGGTCACCAACTCATCAATTAGTTATCAAATCAATAGTTCCCAATTTTGGCCTATAAAAGGAGGCATTTGCCATGCATTCAGGCATCTTGGTGTCCAGATCAAGATCATACTCTTGCTTTCTCTCTTTGTATTTTTTGTAATGTTTATGCTTTGCTTTCCTTAATATCAAGTTTATGCCTTTCAATTCCTTTCCTTTGCTTTGTTAACTCTTATCTTATTTATGTTCTTATTTTGTTTATTTATTTTTCTTTCTTTCATTATGTCTAACTAAGTTTATTATGTCAAGGTGAAAAGGTTACACTAATGGTGTAAGAATAAATATAGGGTAAACTTAATATGGACTTTAATGTTTGATACTAACGTGTTTTGTATTTGTTATCTTGTTCACTCTTTAATACTTTGCTTGTTAAATGACTAATCTTGATTTATGTTGTATAACACTTGGTACAACAAATGCTTGGCACTTTTATAGCCCATACTGTATGGTATAACTGACACTTGAGTTATGAAAGGAACTTAATTTGTTGTTAACATAAGTTATAATCATGAATGCTTAATGATTATGCATCAAAAGTGCCATTAAGTCTCTTATTTTATATATGTATTTATTGTTTTTATTTGGTTGTTTTTATAATAATTGATGTGTTTTTTTAGTAATGAAGTTTGTTTTAATGTTTCGATAGGTTTTTGGAGCTTAAATGAATTAATTCAAAAAATTCAACGTCGGAATTCAAAACAAAGAATTGAAGAGATATTTAGTTGAAGATTGAAGCAAATCTTGGCTCAAATAAGTGCTCCAAATTTATCCCAAAAATCAATTCTATTCCAATTCTAGAAAAGAATATCATATGATCTATTTCAAGCCCAAACTTGCCTTATGTTGTGTGCAAACTTCAACCATTAAACACTCAAGGTTTCAATGTCAATCTTAGCCCAAATAATAAGTACATTTGTATACTTATTTGATTCTCAAATTCAGCCTAAAATCATCCCTAAATCAACCCCAAATCAACCTTCAAATCAGCCCAAACACAATCCTTGATCTTACATGTCCACACAACAAATAACAATTGATTTATTTTGGGTAATCCATTGATCCAAGAAGGCAAGCACATGGATGGAAAGCTGGAGGGGATATTTTTACATTATTTTAGGTCAAAAAGAAGAAGGAGACAACTCATAAATGAGGAAGAAAAACTTGCACCATAGTGGTTGCAAAGCTGTCCTGATTTGATTTTTCAGAACATCTTTTGGTGTTTTACCCATAACTTTTGACTCAGGTGTCAAATGAGCTGTTCTTTAATGATATGGAAAGGTTACAGAATTTCCTATATGTATCTAATAGACACCCCAAAAAAAAAGCTTTTAAGAGGGTCAAATTACTTTTCAAAGTTAGAGTCAGATTTGTGTCCGATTTTTTTCTGAAATTGTATTGTGTTCTTCTTTATAGATTTCGGTTCTTTAGTTTGTAAAACTTATTATTTCTGTTTGATTCAAGTTATTTCATGTTTATTGAAGTATTCTTATATATAATCATGGTTGG